GAGAGAGCCCTCCCTTTCTGCTTAAAGGTTGCTACCCCCTCACACTTATCCAGGAAGATTTACTCCCATTTCATAAAACGAAGACACAGAGAGATGAAGCAATATACCCAGGATCACACAGAAAGTCAGCTACAGTGCAAGTCCCACACTGGTGCTCAGTGCTGCCTCCTGCTGGTCCTGGCATCCAGCTCACTTTTATCACTTAAAAACTGAGATTCTGTACCGCCAGGCGTCTTTTGCTTGTGGTCCACTCTGACCATGAGATTATTTTCCCCGCCCTCCCCTAGTGCTTTCTTTTGTGGATGTATCTCAATTCACAGAGCACACTTCTGTGCAGGGTCCACTATATGCCAGGCCCTGCTGTGAGTCCCTGGGTTCCGAACGCCTGACTTATGGACAACTCGTATTTTTCCTTTAATGTTATGTAAATTTGCCCTCACTTTGAAATGATTGAGGCAACCCCTACTCGCAACGAATCCTTCATCACAATTGCCTTCACTTGCTGCACGTGCCGCTTTTAAATAATTGAAAAGACTTCAAGCTTTTTCTTGCACTGAAGTAAGTCTAAATAAGAACCGTATGCACCTGTTCTGACGTCCCTACAAATTCTTAAAGACAGAGTTAGGACTGGAAATATGTACATGTATATATAGAAACGTGTTTAGTCCTCCCAACAACCCCGTGAGGGAAGTCAAGGGAGCTCTTTTCTCTTTCACTCCTATTTTACATAGAGGGAAACAGAAGCGCAGAGAGGTTAAGCTACGTGCCTAGGGTAACGCAGCTAGTTAGCAAGTGGCAGAGCTGATATTCGAACCCAGGCAGGACGACCATGTTTAACTGCACCTTGCACTGGCCGGTACTTACCTGCCACCCAGACTCACCTGCAGCCCTGTTCTTTTCTTTTTTTTTTTTTTTTTAAATAATATGTTATTGTGTTTTTGGTGACAGTTTACACAGCAAGTTAGGTTCCTATTTGACAACTTCCACACACTTGTTCGGCGACGTTGGCTACATTTTCACAGTGCGTCAACATTCTCTTGAACTGCATTCTGGTTGTTCCGTTTCCAGTGCTCTAGTTTCCCTGCCCCCTTCTCGTCTTTGCCTTAGAGCCATTGTTGACCTTTTGGTCTCCTGAGATGATTTTTTAGTAGAACACTTTCCTTACTGGTAATGTCCTTTATTTTGTGTGCCAGCCACTCTGCTGTTTCGCTACAGGGTGACCTCAGGGGATAATTTTGGTTCAAGGTTTAAAGAGTATCCCAGGGCAGTAGTCTCAGGGAGTCCTCTGGTCTTAACTGGTTCAGCTAGTCGGGTCTTTTTTAAGAATTTGAGTTTCGTTCTACATTTTCCTCCCATTCTATCCGGACCATCTGTGGTGACCCCCGTCAGGACAGTCAGTGGTGGTAGCCGGGCACCATCTAGTTCTTCTGGTCTCAGGGTAGATGAGGCTATCATCTGCCGCGTTCTTACACGCTGCCCCATACTGGCTCCGAAACAACACAGATCAAAGGTCGACCAAATGGCCACCCTCTCCTAGCTGTGTCCTTTCTAGCGGTAGAGGTGGAGCTGGGCAGTGAGGTCAGCTGTGGGAATTCAGCTCCAGGGCCCTCTCCTGGCTGGGCGGGCTGGGCCAACTCTAGCACTCACCTCCCAGGGCCGGGTTATGGGGCTTGTGACATGCCCTGTGGTCACTGTTACTAGCAGGGGTGCCCGGGGTGTAAGGATGGGATTGGAGGCTGGGCTCAGCCAGGCATCTGCTCTGCAGCCTTGGCGTGCCTCCCCTCACTGGGCCTCAGCTTCCTCCCACAAATGGACAAGAGCTACTCTGTCCACCCTCTCCCCCAGCAGGACTACAAGCGTGCCACGTTTGCCACAGACATGAGATACCAGAGTCTTCTAAGAACATCCCCATTACTGGGCTGGGCGAGCAGGCTCCCACGGCCCTCAAAAGCCAGCCCTTCTCCCACCCGTGCGCCCCACCCCGAGCCCTCTCAACATTGCTTGCCCACGTGGGTGTGGTCGTGGCCCGTCAGCACCCTGAAGGTTCCATCACAGCGAGCAGGGTGAAGGCCTGTTGACATGGGCCAGCGGAATCTACACCGTGCCCAGTTCCTCTCGATGGCTGTCCATTCTTTATGTCCAGCCTCCTGCCAGCTCCCTGGCTGACCTTGCCCTCCAGGGCTATGAGCAATGCCTGAGTCTGCAGGGGCCATCTCCTGGGGCCAGAGAAGTTGATATGCCAGGGGCATGGCTCTGCCGACCCCCAGACCAGGGTGAAGGACCCAGATCCCGGCTATCGCCACCAAGAGAGGGCAGGTCAGAAGAGCATCAAGGCCCCTCCCAAATGCCTCCCTACCCACCCATAGCGGGATTTCTTGCCCTTTCCTGTCTTCTACCTGCCCCTGATGCTGGGGCACTTTGAGAAGAAACCCCTCCCGAAGGGCCCCTCCGTCCTCCAGATACTGTCTTGGCAGGTTTGCTTGCCCAAGCTTCCAGAAAAGGCTTTCTTGATGTATTTTCCATTGTACACAGCCCGCCACCCCTCAGGTGAGGGACTCCCTGCATATTCTCCCCTGTGCATGGGCCCTTCAGAGTCCCAGTGCAGCTGGGTGCCATCCTGGGCCTGGAGTGACCACTGGGAGCTGTCCTGGGCCCAGAGTGACCACTGGCCCTGAGTCCCTGAGTGCAGCTGTCTCCCTCTGTGGCCATGGATGTTTGTGGCCCAGCCTTTGGCCATGTGGGCGG